AACTCACTAGGTAGCCCAGGCTGGCTTTGAACTCATGGCTATCCTCCTACCTCAGCCTCCCAAGTCCTGGGATACAGGCATGAGGCACCATGCCCAGCAGTTGTATTATTTTATATGTACAGATCTGTCCACCTATTGCTACTCCTGGTTCCAGTCTTACTTCCATATTTTTTGTTTCAGCAGTGTCCCACTTCTTTATTCCAAAATCTTCATTGATTATTTATTGCTGCAAAACAAATTATTTAAAAGCCTAACAGCTTTAAATGACAGACATTTATTATTTGACAGTTTCTGTGGATCAGGAATAAAATCAGTTAGCCAGAAGGTTCTGAAGACTCGGGTCTTCTAAGGAGTTTGAAGTCAGAGACAGGACATTGGAGGATGACCTGGGTTGGAGGATCTCCGTCTGAAATGGCTCGCTCATGACAGTGGGCCTTCATTTGACCATGTGGATCTTTCCATATGGTCTGTCTGCATGATCTAAGAGGAAACAACAGGACTCCCAGGGCTTTTGAGACTGAGCCTTAAGTGTTACATACCTTCTTTTGTAGTGAGTTCTCTCCTTGGCCCAGGACTCACTAGGTATAGGCTTCACCTTTTAGAGGGGAGAATTTGTAGGCATATTTTGAAATTCCTACAGCGGTGATGTTTTGGAATGGCATTTTTTCATTTTTCAATATTAATACTGTTAGCCAAATATACCCTGACTGAATGCATTGTTTTTAAATTTCTTGCTCAAAATCTAACCGATATACAACTTTCACTTTCTTGTAACATGTCTGTTGGTGATTTCCAGTCTTTCTTTTGAGGAATTCTTACCACCCTAAGGGTAGTGATACTCAATACCAGTATAAAATTTATTTATTTATTTATTTGGTACGGAGGATCGAACTCGGGACATTGTGCTTGCAAGGCAAGTGGCAAAACCACTGAGCTACATCCCTGGTCCTGAATGTTTTTTTTGTTTTTGTTTTTGTTTGTTTTGTTTTGGTACCGGGGATTGAACTCAGGTCCTTGCACTTGCAAGGCAGGCCACTGAACCACTTGAGCTAAATCCCTGGCCCCTTGTTTTTTGTTTTTTTCAGACAGGGTCTCACTATGTAGTTGAGACTGACCTGGAACTCACTATGTAGCCCAGGCTGGTCTCAACTCACAGTGATCCTCCTGCCTCAGCCTCCTGAGTGCTGGGATTACAGGCATGTGCCACCACGCCCGGCCTCTAAATGTTTTTTTATATGCTTGGCTTGCTGCTAGTTCTTGAGAATCCAAAGTTATGAGTAAGGCAAGCTATCATCTGCCAAAGAGTCTATAATCCAAGAGATGGATATTCTAATAAAATATATGATAAGTAGACATATATTAGGCATAGAAAATACTAAATAATTGGCCCAGATGAGAGAAAGTATAATTTAAGAGAGCATAGTCCAAAGCTATACATAGGTAACAGCATGCTGTAGTCATGGAATTGCAAGTCGTTTCATATTGCTGGAGGAAGTCACATGCTTTGCAATGACTTCTTGTTTACATGTATATCCCGCCTGGTTTTTCAAAACATTTTTTCTAAAGAGATGCTATTTGCTATCTAATGTGGGCCATTAAAAGGCTAGACATATATGGGCACATTTACATACAAAGCATGCAGTACTTTTTTATGGGAATTTGGGAGTATTAAAAAGTAGTAGTTGATAATTACTAATCTGATTAACATGTTACAATTTCATTAACACTCACTGCCTACAGCAAACATGTCTGACAAAGAGCTAAAGAAGTTACGTAATAAACAAAGAAGAGCTCAAAAGAAAGCCCAGATAGAAGAAGAGAAAAAAAATGCAGAAAAAGAAAAGCAGCAGAGAAATCAGAAAAAGAAGAAGGATGATGATGATGAGGAGATTGGAGGTCCAAAAGAAGAACTTATCCCAGAGAAACTGGCCAAGGTACTTAATAATAATGCTTAGCATAGTTGGGTGAAGTTGCATGGCCAACAGCTATCATTTTACTACTATCTTGTTAATCAATGTGATTATAGATTTTAGAGCCAAAAGTCATTTTTACTTTTGTTTTTATTTATTAATGTTTTGTTTCTGGGCATATTTCATATTTGAACTTGAAGTAATTATTTTGTTCCATAATCATCTAGTATGGCCTAGTGGGAACAGTTTTTACTTTTATTTATTTATTTTAAAAATTATTTGTTTGTTTGTTTGATTTGGTACCTGGGGTCAAACTCGGGTCCTTAAACTTTCAAGGCAGGCAGCGGCACCACTGAGCTAAATCCCCAGCCCCTAGTTTTTGCTTTTGAGCCATTCTGATCATGGTTTAAATAACCAGTTCTTAAATTTGCACTGTGGGCCCTGTGAGTCACTTGGTCTAACATCTTTCATGGTTTTCTGGTCTATAAAATGGAACTAAGAAAAATCTTCAATGAGAGAAAACATGTATATAATACATCTGGTATCTGTGATAAGTGGTAACATGAAAATTTTATATCTTGGCTAAATTGAGTTTGTTTTAAACTAAGGATTTTATGTGCATCTTTCTCTTATCCATGTTGTCAAGTTACAGTATACCAGGTGGTATCTGGGCCAGGGATTTAGCTCAGTAGTGCCACCGCCTGCTTTGTAAGCGCAAGGTCCTGAGTTCAATCCCCGGTACCAAAACCAAAACAACAAAAAAACCAGGTATCTTAAAATTAGATACCTGGTATCTAAATACTTTTCCTAAACCAGACTCTGACCTGCTGGGTGTTTTATTTCATTGTTTTGTTTTTGGTAGGGTTTGAGGTTTACTGGATACTGAACCCAGGGTCTTCACACTGAACTACATATTCAGGCTGGGATCTAACTTGAAATTCTTTTGCTTCAGCTTCAGAGTGCCAGCCTCACAGATGTGCACTACCATTCCTGGCTATGACCTGCTGTTTTTAACTTTTGAGCTGAAACCAAGGTGTCTATTGTTATGTGAACCATTTTGAATAATAACACAACTGTACACTTACATACTTTTGACTCTGGACATCCTACTCCATATAAAAATAATTGCATAATTCATTATGTTAAAGCCATATAGTAAAACCATTCTCCTAGACTGTAAGTTTAGCCTTAAAATTAGAAGTCATTTTCTTGTCTGCTTTCTAACTAACAAAAATTATAATTCCAAAAAGAGCTGGAGAACATGTTTAGAATTATACCTGAGCAGGTAGTCGGTAACAGCACATTAACATTGAAATATTGATATAAGAAATCTAGAAAAATCCATGTTGGGTTTCACACAAGTATATTGCCATCTTTTTACAAATGTATAACCACTAGAAACAAAGATAGATATGTAGTTATTGTTGTGTTTCCTGGAAGAATATGCAGGAAAGCAAGGAAACAGAAAATTGACCATTGGGGCCTCATGGAGAATTGCAAAGTCATCCAACTCTTAAGGATCCTTTCATATCCTCATATAGTTTTTGAAGGTATACCTCTATTGTTTAGTCACTCTGTAATAAGATTCTTCTACAGAGTGAGTTTTTGCTGTTGTTTGAGACAGTCTCGCTTTGCTGTTCAGGCTAGCCTTTAGCTCACTGTGTAGCCCAGGCTGGCCTCACAGTGATCCTCCAGCCTCACAGAGTAGAATTTTTGTACCAGTCCTCCAAGGAGACTCAGGCTTTCCTTCTGCTCAGGTTAATATGGTTGTCTTTGAACCTGATTCCAAGCTGTAGACTTAGCTAGCATTGTTAAGTCTTAGAACAAAATAATACCTGCAGAAAATGTTTCTAACTACCTTGTCTGGAACAAGCTTAGCGGAAGGTGGCAGCCCTTTTCATATGTTGTTCCTCATTTCATAGTAGTATTGTTCTAACCTGAAGCAGCATATGACTGCTTCAGTCATATGTTTATAGGAATGTAAGCAGCATATGATCATTCTTTGTTGGCTTTCTCCATGATAGCCTCCATATTCACCCACACCCCTAGTGTAGTAGCAGTGTAGGATTACACCAAACTGTCATACCTTGGAGTGACATTGTAGGCTATTTTAAAAGTTGCCTATCATTTCTGGATCTGAGGTCTGTAGTGGCTCTTTTATGTGATCCTGTATTTCAGCACTCTTGATGTGCTAAATAGCAAGTTTAGTATAACCAGTTCAGGAAGGCATATCTCCCTCTCTCTCTCTCTGTAGTAGCAGTGTAGGATTACACCAAACTGTCATACCTTGGAGTGACATTGTAGGCTATTTTAAAAGTTGCCTATCATTTCTGGATCTGAGGTCTGTAGTGGCTCTTTTATGTGATCCTGTATTTCAGCACTCTTGATGTGCTAAATAGCAAGTTTAGTATAACCAGTTCAGGAAGGCATATCTCCCTCTCTCTCTCTCTCAACATATTGCACAGTATTTACACTTAAGAAGTAGAAAAAACTGAAAAGAAATAGTGAGTTAATCATTCAGTAAACTAAGCATAAGTCGAAGGTCTTTTTTTAAAAACGCAGGAAGTACTGAACTACTTCCCCATTCCTTTTTATTTAATTTTGAGACAGTGTTGTGCCAAATTGCTGAGGCTGGCCTTGAGCTTGGTATTCTCCTGCTCTGCCTGCGGGATTATATGTGTGCACTATCAAGCAAGGCGTAGTGGTGTGTGCCTGTAACCCCATACTTGGGAGGCTGAGGCAGAGGGATCATCACAAGTTCAAGGAGAGTCTGGACTACGTAATGAGTTCCAGGCCAGCCTGAACTATAATAGACTATTTCCAAAAGAAAAGCAAAAATAACTGTGCACCATCACACCTGGTTTAAATCTGAGGTCTGGTGGGAGCTCTGTCACTTGTTTCTGTAAATTATCATGAGCCATTGGTTGTATTTATGAGTTTCCTCACATACTTTTCATCTTAATTTTTCCCTTCGCATCTTCCTTCAAGGGCTATGACTCCTTAGTATTTTTGCTGTCTGTATAGAGTTTAGTAATTTTAAACTTTTCTCTTTGCTATGCTAATGGTATGGAGAGATACATTCCTATAAACATTTTAATATAGGGATTAGATTTTAAGTCAGTTTATTATAAATTTGAAAATTGCACATGATTAAAATTGTCTTGAACATGTCTTAAATTGTCCAAATACATTGTATTCCCATCCTACATGCATTTAATTTGGGTAAATTAAACCCTTTGTCACTTTAAATTTTAAAGACACAAGACAGAGAAGACTATACATAATGTTGGCAATTCAATCCAGTATTCCACTCAGTGAACATAAGGACTCCAGCTCAGTAGTCAGTAGCAGGCATGACTGACATCTCTCTCAGTTCTGGTTTACCTCTTTTCTTGTGAACACCTTGCTGCAATGATTTTGGGACTTATATATTCACTTCATATAAATAATGCAAAGTAATGATATATCTATCTGCCCATCTCTCTTTTTAATCTAGAGGGCTTTTCAAGGGTAGTTTTGACTTTTTCTTTTTACTTAAGCACTGATTTTAGAGTCTCATTCCTATTTGCGTGCTTTTCTATATATAACCCTGACTTCATTAAGTGTAAAAAGGCAAATTATACTTTGTTTTATTGTGATTATGCATGTATAGTAAACATTTAGATTAACCCAGACAAAATGTCTGTAAAAGGCACAATGAATGAGACTCCATGTGGGAACAGCAGACCTAAATATTCTTTGGGGACATATGTTCTCGTTTTTAAAATTAGGACATAATTTCTGTTTTCTACCTCAAAGTTCAAGTACTTTATTTTACCACATAATGATACATAATACTTGTATTGATCCGTCTTCCCATATTTCTTGTTGTTTCCATTTTGTAATAGCAGCAATATCTCCCAAATAGTAAATTATCCTGTGAACGCAGGGTAGACACATACTATAGACACATTCAGTCTATACCCTTAGAAGCATGAAAAGCTTGATATAATTGTCAATGTCAGTTATCCTTACCCTGGTAGAAGCATGTCATCCCTCTGTACTACAAATTAAAACCCAGTAAAATATAGAGTAATGGGAATAAGAAGCAAAATATTTGCAAATGTGAAAGAAAGGCGCACTTACGGAGACCCCGTTTTCTCCTTGATCTTTCGGATCTTCATTCTGTGTCATTAGAGTGACAGTGCCACATTTTGTTTCTGGTTTAGTGTATCTTTCAAAATAATACCATCTGTTGCTGTAGCTAGTATTTTAGTGGATATTTTTATTGTCCTATAAGGGCATCTACTTTAACACATTAGGACAAGGTAAATCCCATAGGTAGAACTTCATCTACTTAACTTGTTTTTTGTTTTTTTTTTTTAATTCTCAAATAATTTTCTTGTGTTGGTAACACCAGGATTATGGCAATAGCAGGGCCTATTGGATAGGTATGGCAAACCTGGTTTTTCCTCAAGAGTAGATTGTTAGTGCTTCTCTGAGGAGACAAGATGAATGTAGCACCCAGATGTTCAGTATACTTGTGCTAAGTGTGGAGTGTGCAGGGAATAGTCTTGTCTCTACTCAGCCCAGGATTATTATAACAGCAGTCATACAGTGAAAATTACTCCTGCCTAGCAATGATTACATGTATGGAACTAATGTGATGTTTATATAATTAGTAAACAATGATAGGGACTGAGTTCTGTAAATATAAATCTATTAGACTGTTATATCCTTTTTAGTATATTTTAATAAAGAATAGCTTGCTGTAGAATTTGTAATAGAACAAAGCAAGACACAATCAACAGTATACTATTTTGAATAGCTGGATTATACTTCATTTTGTTTGAAGTAAAAAGAATTTTCACTTAGTTTATATTGTTTTCTACTATTTCCTTCATTCCCCTTTCCATCCTATTTTATGTTCCTCTTCTGTATTTTTTGTCCCCTGACCTAGTTCTCTTTTTCCCTAGTTCTATTTTATTCATTTGGATAGCTTCTATTCAGAGATAATATATTATCTGTGGCTAAAGATTAGTTGAGAGTTCTAGACTACTCATGGTGGCATGTGCCTGTAATGCCAGCATTCTTGGTGGCTGAGGCAGGAGGGCTGAAGTTAGAGCCCAGCCTGGGTGACTTAGTGAGACCCTGTCGCAAAATACAAAGGGCTAGCTGTGGCTTGTGCTGAGACTCTGACTTCAATCCTCAGTGTTGTCTCCCCAGCCCCCCAAAAGTTCTGGAGTTCAGAATCGCCTTTGTTTAGATATGGCAGATTAAAACACAACAGTATATTTCAGGGTTGAAGTATTTTTAATAGAATAAAATCACATTCCCCAGGAATCTTACTTCCATTTGTATAATATCTTTTATTTTTGTTAGGTTGAAACTCCATTGGAAGAAGCTATTAAATTTTTAACACCGTTGAAGAACTTGGTGAAGAACAAGATAGAAACTCATCTTTTTGCCTTTGAGATTTACTTTAGGAAAGGTAGGCCTTTAGGGTCCAGTGGCACTGATTTATCACTGATTGGATCGCTGTTAATTCTTAGGTGTAGTCATGCATCTCTAATAGCCTCATCACTGTACGATTTATTTTGGCAGATGCCAGTGCCGTTTCCTCAAAGAAACGCCTTCCTGCTCAATATAGATACTATGATGACAGTGATACAGTGACTTCTTAGGATGTTAAAATAATACAAGTACTATATGTGTATTAAGGGTTAAGGCCAAATATGGTAAGGTTCAATGAAAGGACTGATGATTATGCTGATAAAATTAGTTATAGAGAGCTTAGAATAATTCCTGGCACATAGTAAGCTTCAAATAAATATTAGCTGTTAATAGCTATTTTCATAAAGACATAAACTTAGGAACAGATCTTTAAGGATGTATTGTGTTGCTAAAGGAAAATATGCATAGGAGGGGAGAGTCTCCATCAAAAAGAGCGTTTAGGGCCGGGGATTTGGCTCAGTGGTTCCGCCACCTGCCTTGCAAGCACAAGGGCCTGAGTTCGATCCCCAGTACCAAAAAAAAAAAGTGTTTAGGTAGTACTGATGTTGATTGTACTGCCTGGAACCAGGTAAAAGATAAATGGAGGGTCTTGGTTTTCAGGTTTAGAATATTTAGAGTATGTACAGTAAGTAAAAAGATTTTATAATACTGAATGGTGTAATCCAAGGGTTTCGTTGAAACAAATTGAATGATGCTAATTGGGGAGAAGTTGCTTCAGTAGTATGTTGCAGTTCAGCTGTGATTAAGCCTAAAATCACCTTTCCTGTTTGTAAAGTCTCAGCCCTCCAAGAGAGGGCAATTTACTTTATCAAATGATCAAAATATCTTACTTTTCTTTTTTATAGAAAAGTTTCTTTTGATGCTACAATCAGTAAAGAGGGCATTTGCTATCGATTCTAGTCATCCCTGGCTTCATGAGTGTATGATCCGACTCTTTAGTGCTGGTATGTTTTTTATTTTCCTTTACTGAAGTACTTGATAGTGCCTGTATAAGTAATTTGTACTATTTTTCTTGAACTTGGTCATTTTAAAGCTGGTACCTATTAAATTAATGGAGAGAAAATCAGAGCTCCTTTTTTGTGGTGAAGGTCTTTATTTTAAGGCTACAAATGTTAATTTGATTTTGACATAGAATTGTTTAGTCCACGTATTTAAGAATCACCTTCGGTTCTCTTTCTCATAAGTTACATGTCAGTTGAAGTTTTGAATCATATTTCATCGTGTGAAGCTTCTTAGGAAATTGTTTTAAAATTGAAGATCTCTTTGAAATTGACATCTTTTCTCCTTATTTATGTCTTGTAGGTCTCAGTTTACATGGAGTAGGCTTGCTTGGTACAATCTTTTAAGAGCCATAAAACTTTGTTAGTTTAAAAGTCATCTGTTTTTTTTAAATATTTTTGACAGATTACATTGATTTTAATGTGAAGTAGAACTATGGAATTTTAAAACTAGGTTTTTTTTTTCTTCTAATTATCTCTCGTTTTAAAGTTGTGAAATTTGGGGCCCTTAAAGAAACAGATATTTAGTAATGAAACAAAGACTAGAGCCCAGGACTTCATATTGTTCTTTCTACTGCAGGTTAAGTATCCCTTATTTCCCTTATCTGAAATGTTTGGGACTAGAATTGTTTCAGATTTTGGATTTTGTGTGTGGATGGGTGGGGTGGTTGTTTGCATGTATGTGATGAGCTGTCTTGGGAATGGGACCCAAGTCTAAGCATGAAGTTCATTTTATGTTTCATACACATAGCCTTAATGTAATTTTATACACTATTTTTAGTGCACTTAATGTCACAATAGCCTATTGAGTAAAAAAAAAGTTATTGAATTTTCCACTTGTGGTATTTAAAAAGCTCAGAAAGTTTTGGATTTTGAAAAACTTTAGATTTTCATGCTTTTGATTTGGGAAGATCAACCTGTATAAGGTCAGTCTACGGAATTTGGAAATAATATTAAAAAACTAGCTATCTCATAAAAATTGTCAGTGTAAGGACCGGGGATTTATTTAGCTCAGTGGTTCCAGCACCTGCCTTGTATGCACAAGGACCTGAGTTTGATCCCCGGTACCAAAAAAAAATCTCTGTGTAATAATATGACCATGTTATAGAACAAAGAAATCCTATACTTCTGCTGATATTAATGATTTTGTTTCTTTTTAGTCCTTTTGTGTATTAAAATTTTTTTGAAATTATGAGTCAGAAAAGACTCAGGTTCTTAATACTTTTTAAGTCATTTAATTGTTATTGTTTAAGCCTTGTTTAGTATTCTCATTTATTTTGCCATTTTGAGTGGTAATCATTTAGTAGGTAGTGTTACAACCTGGTAGTGAATAGTCATTAACCTTATATAAAATATGAACGTTTACTCCCCAAATTATTAACAGTGCTAGCTATCCTGAGACCCTAGGCTGACACCTAGGGCTCTTTTCAGTACCTTTTATAACCTCTCACGAGTACTTAATCTGTCTGCTGATAAGTTAATAGAGTAAACCAAACATTTCAGTTTTGGAATGCCAGAGGAATCAAATGAAAAGTTCTTAATTTTCAGCAGGGAATGATGGTTCATCCCTGTAATCTCAGTACTAGGGAGGCTGAGGCAAGACGATTTGAGTTACAACCTGGGCTGTATAATGAATTCAAGGACAGCTGAACTACATAGTGGGATTCTGTCTCAAAAAACAACCAAAAAGAGCTGGGTGTGGTGGCACACACTTGTGATCCCAGCACTCGAGAGGCTGAGGTAGCAGATCACCACAGGTTCGAGGCCAGCCTGGGCTACATAGTGAGTTCAGGGTTAGCCTGAACTACAAAGCGAGACCCTGTCTCAACACCCCCCCGTACCCCTAAAGTTTTTTTCTTTTTAATCTTTTCACTCCCAATTTTTCATCAGTTACTATTTCCTTGATTCATGAGATATTCTATCATGGAAGGTAATTGTATAATCTGTGGTTTTTGCTTTCATGAAGCCTAAGTATTTTTTGTTGTTGTTGTTGTTAATTTTATCATTTTTCAAAGGCTTTCTATATAGATTTTTTTCCTGCCCACTGGTCTTAACAATAGTTGGTTATAGTATCTGAGATTGCTCCTTTGTTTTGAAGATACACGTCAAATTTCATTATATATAATTCCAAAGGGCATTATAATTTTTACTGCCGTGGACTTGGGAGAAGGGCAGTGACATCATCCTGGAAGTTACTCATAAAATCTGTATAATTTAAAACAGGAGGGCTTCAGTCAGGTGCAATGGCTTAGGGCTGTAATTCTATCTCTGACAGTAGGGTCACAAGTTCAATCCCCACTTGAGCAATTTAGCGAGACCTTGTCTCAAACATAAGAAATAAAAGGGACTTGAAGTGTAGGTTAGTGCACAGGCCCTAGGTTCATGTCTCAGTATTGCCAAAAAGTTGAGGGTGGCTTCAAATTTCTTGTGAAATTACTAAATGAAGAAATAATTTTGCAAACAGTTGTTGGTAAAGTTGCATATAAATAGATTTTTTTTTTTAACCTTTGTGAGTTTTATTGTTAGTAGTTTTGGTTTTTCTAGGTAGATTATTTATTCTGAGGAAAATAAATTAATGAAAGACAGTGAGGATGATAAAGGGGTCCTCCAGCTGTCATGGGAAGTGTGCGGTTACTTTGCCAGCCTACATAGTGTCCTAAAGCCAACATAGACCATGAATATCACTTTTTATTTTATTGAAGATCTGTAAATTTTGAAACAGTGTTCATTGTAATTGACCACAATATAACACCTTTTCTTCTGATTTTCTCTCCTTTTTCTCTGAAAAACTAGTACTGATAATTTGCCAAAAGGTGAAAGAACAGCCATAATGGAAGTTAACACATGCAAAATGGGGCTGTATTTGCATGTCCCAATGTCAGCTGGCTTGAAGCACCAGCGGTACTTGCATGACTGTCCTATCGGACAGCTTTTTATTATTTTTATTAAACTGGTAGAAGTGATTAGATCTGTTAGTATAGTGGTACAAGCCTCCTGGTGGAACAATCATGCATGCACCAATGGTGGTCTAAGCCAGCGGGAACTATTAAATTCTTCACCTAATATCTCATCTGTTTAAGCTATTCATTTCTACCGGATAATAGAAGAAATGCTTCTAAGCAACAAAGGGTGTATCACTGAATTATTCAATTAGTAGTCACACGTATGATATTTTACCTAAATATTTACTGCTCAGAATTCAGTGGGGTTTCTTCTTCTTCCTCTTCCTCTTCCTCTTCCTCTTCCTCTTCCTCTTCTTCTTCTTCTTCTTTCTCTTCTTCCTCTTCTTCCTCTTCCTCTTCTTCTTCCTCCTCCTCCGCCCCCTCTCCCTCCCCTCCCTCTTCTTCTCCC